GTACCCAAAAAAGAAAGTTAAGGAGGACCCAGAGAGCAAGCCCTAGGAATGGGTCCATGTAGTTCACACATTGGTGCCAGAATGTTGCTTGCTCTACAGTTGGGGTCCCCCTGTCTCTGATCCGGGGGCAGGGGGTGAGTAGAGGAGAACCAAAGGACACAGTCTATGTATGGGAGGTTGTAAGCAATCTCATTTATTAAACAAAGGACTGAGATATTTATGTGTATAGTTTTTGGCAGGATCTGCTTCCAGCTGCCATGGTGTTTCCTCCTTAGAAACTTAGGCAGTTTAGAAACACTCCCACTCCCCACACACTTCATGCTTATCGGCTCATCTAAATCCACGCATATTTATTTGGTGTACCAGGACTTGCCCATGTGCTAACACTGGCAGGGGGCAAAACATAGGACTCCAGAGTGTAAGAGTAGAACTGTCCTTGGAGTCTGAAGACCAACAGAGTTGGAGGGCCTGAGGCAAACTTGCCAAAGAACTCTCCTTAGCTACAACAGGGGAAGTTTCCTGGTTTTTAGAACTCATCTGAGAAAAATGGTGTAGTCAAACAGAGCCAGCTCTCCTTTTCTAGTTAATGGGAGGCGGGGGGCATTTTCCTGGTTGGTTCTGGGTCATATGTTAACAGTGGTCATCTTCAGGGTCCAGTTTCAGGGTTCTTTGGGTCAGGATACTACTGCGCATGCCAGAGCTCTTTGTTAGCTTAAGGCATGAACTAGTGCTTTAGGCCTTATCTGCCTCAGACAGAATCATGTAGTTCTCAATATTTGCACCCAAGGGTAGAGAAATCAATATGTTCTGATATACTGACTAACTAATATACATAGTAAAGACATATGTGAATATGTATAGTTAGGTTTGTGCATAAGTGAATATATATATTTACGTATGTGTATATGTAAATGTGTGTGTTTATGTGTGTTCATGTGTAACTGTATTTCTGTATGTGCATGCATACAAGTGTTTTTTTATGTATGTTTATGTGTGAAAATATATGTGTCTGTTTAACAATCTTATGTCCTGGTTTTCTCCTCCATGTTTTAGTTATAGGACCTCTTTTCATGGACTTTTTAGGAAGAATTCTGGCCCCATACCTCTGCCTTTTGTTGGGATGAGGCTTAACTACATCGGGGTGAGTGCTATTTGGGTTCCCAAATTTGCTTCTTGTGACTGTGTCTGTTCCCTGAGAGTCATGAAACTGTTTCAGTTCATCAGTGCAAATGGTCATTGAGATAAAAAGCTAAGGTTT